ACCAAATGTTTGCAAAATAGTAGGGAGTAGTAAGTATTATGGTTCCAAGTGTTAGAGAATACACCAACATTCAAAAAGCATGGAGATCGCAAAGGTGGGGGGCACATCTACATTGGGTCCTACTAATGTACCTTCGAATGTACAACATATCCTAGGAAGTATCAAAAAAAAATAAAAAACAAAAAAATATACAGAGTGATCTTGTATAAGGAGGCTAATCTGCTACCATGTTTCGACACAAATCGTGTGTTTCTGCAAATCAGCCCGGAAAAATTCCTCAGGTTTCCTGGGAAGATAGAGCTGTCATGGAAGAGGTTGAAAAAGGTTGCAGTTTTGAGAAAAGAAAGTAGGCTGCACATGCAAATAAACAAAGGAATCTGCCATCAAGATTACTAACCCACACGCCAACACCCACCGACCGGAGAAAAAACAACAAAAACGCCCACATTCACATACTCTTACGCCCATCCCCAAAACCCCAACTGTAAGAAACAACCAACACTTTTGGACCACCACAAACCAAGACCTCATACGTTCAGAGGAAAAAAGAAAAAAAAAAGAAGAAAAAAAAAAAAAAGAAAAACCCCGAACACTAACCCAGAAATCGTACACCACTCTCCATCGCACTCGTCGTAGCCCCCCCCCCCCCCCCAACCCTAAGAACACCGATGTGAATGCCAAAACCATCCCGGTGAAACCCCCGAAAAAAAAAAACACACACACTGAAGAACTACAACGCAAGCAAAATACAAAAACCTAAATCCCAACCCAAAATCCATTCGGAACAGTAGCAAACCCACAAACCCCCAGCAAAAAAACATCCCGAAACAAACAAAAAAAAGGAAAACAAAAACGGAGAAAATAGTACCGGCACCGGAAGCAGAAGAGATGCCCTAAGCTGCTTGGACTGCCGCCTGCTGGAACCAGCCATGGAGGTTCTTCGGACGTTGTGTGTACCGGAGGGATGAGAAGAATGGAAGGGCCGCGAGGAACGAGGAGGCTGCGGAAAAGATATTAAGGGGAGAGAAACCTAAAATCAATCTTATTTTATCTACTCACACACGCAAATCAACCGGCTGAATTTATGACTTGTCATAATAAAACACAAAGAGGAATGACAAAACCACCCCTACACCAGGCGCACGTGAATCTTATTAGCTTACCATCTCAACCGTTAAAAAAAACACCATCAACGATCAGGGAGTGTGCTTACGGACTCGGCTAACTAGGGGGTGTGCACCGGATTCAAAATCTATATATATATATATATATATATATATATATATATATATATATATATATATATATATATATACACACACACACACACACACACACACACACACACACACTTTCACGTACGCAGCAAAACAAACCCAACCATGCAAATTGCTTCATCGAGTAGACCGAGACAACCATGTAGGCATGTATCCACCGACTCGTTAAAACCTTCACCGAAACCATCGATGCGATAATTCCTTCACCGAAACCATTGATTCGTTAATTCCTTCACCGAAACCATTGATTCATTAAATCCTTCGCGGAAACCATTGATTCGTTAAATAACGATTTATACATCAAATCGTAAATAACGAATTGTACATCAATTCGTAATTCAATTCATAATTAACAAATTATATATCAATTTGTAAATAATGAACTGTACATCAAATCGTTAAGCAACGATGCAAAACAATATAAGTAATATTCGGTTCCAATCGTACGCAAAATTCATATTTCCCAACTTACTTTCTACCAAACTAAAATAATATTTATAATTCCACAACTTCAAATATTATTAAAGTTTTCATGGTAATCCATCTGAAACATTAATCTTCATTACTATATAAATTTCCAACATCAAAGATAGCCTCCACATCGGATTTTTGAGGGAATGTGATTCCCTCATCTTCCTTTAAGTAATGTAAGATTTCCTTCGTTTTTTTTTTTAAAATTACTTTTCCCTTCTCCATCTTCATCTCCTCTAAGTCTTAGTCTCTGGTTTCCTATTTTGAGACTGCACAACATACTCCTTAGAAAATCAGAACCTATACTAGATAATTCAGCCGATGAGAGGTGAAAGTGATTCAAGGTACCCCTATACTCTTTTTGAAAAAAAAATTAATAAATTTCTTATCTAATTATAACTAAATCATTTATTAACATATATTTATATTTCATTGGGATTTAGGTTGCTTGGGTGCATTAGATGGAATATTTATAAAAGTCAATGTTGAAACAATTGACAGACCTAGGTATCAAACCAGAAAATGTGAAATTGCGGCAAATGTCTTAGGTGCTTGCACACCGAACATGCAATTCATCTATGTATTTCCAAGTTGGGAAGGATCTACGGCAGATGGTAGAATTTTGAGAGATACTATTAGTAGGATGAATGGTTTAAAGGTTCGTCAATGTAATTTTTTAAAATATAAATATCGTAGGATTTTACTTAATGAAAAAATTGTCTTAGGTATTACGTAGTAATAAATTTCTTAAACTAGAATATGTCTAGGAAATTACCACTTGTGTGATGCTGGATATACAAATGAGGATAGATTTTTGACACCATATAGAGGTCAACAATACCACTTAAATGAATGGAGGCAAGGCTTTCAACCTACAACAACCAAAGAATATTTTAACATGAAGCACCCTCAAGTAAGAAATTGTATTGAGAGGTGCTCTGGCATATTTAAGGCTAGATGAGCTATCTTAAGAGACAAGTCATTTTATCAAGTTAAAACTCAATGTAGGATTATTTTTGCTTGTTGCATTCTCTACAATTTCATTAGGTATGAAATGCCTATTGATCCTATAGAGATTGAAGTTGGTCAAAATGAGTGCAATAATTTCCAATATGAAGATGATGATGATGAAGACTTGATAAGGCATCGTGCTACTTGGCACATGAGATGTTTACTACTTGGCAGGCTGAACAACATTAATCTTTGTTCTAGAAATACAACCTTTTTGTTATCATTTTAGTTGTAATTGAAGAAAAATGGAAAACTGAATTTTATTTGAACATCATTGCTGTATTTTTGAAGTATTCCAAATTGAAGAACATACTTGTTTAATGTAGTTGCATTAATATTTTGTTATATTTTTTGAGTTAATTACCATTTTGGTCCCTCGACTATGGTGAAAGTACTAAATTGGTCCTGGACTATTTTTTTTGACCAATTAAGTCATAAAGTATTGATTTTGTGTCTGATTTAGTCCTCCGTCAGTTTGGGTGTTAAATGACCGTCTATTTTGAGGGAAAAATAGGACTTTCACTATTTTCCATCATTCTCATATTTAAGAGGAAGAAGATATCCCATCCTAAGATATCACGACCATCAACACGGAGTCCGGTGTGAGGATAAAGACCGCCGTAGGCCGCGGCGGCTTCATCAAGGGGTTGACGCTGCACACCATGAAATGAGTGTTTTGGATGACGGGGAGTGAAATGTGAAATGTCCGGCGGGATTCGGGGAGTGACATTTCACAATGAGTGTTTTGGATGACGGGGAGTGAAATGTGAAATGTCCGGCGGGAGCGGGATTTAGGACATTAGAGCCTCAGATATCACGACTATCAACACTGAGTCCGGACGGCAGTTGGGATTCAGGACATTAGAGCCTCAGATATCACGACCATCAACTCTGAGTCCGGACGGCGGTCGGGATTCAGGACATTAGAGCCTCAGATATCACGACCATCAACACCGAGTCTGAACGGCGGTCAACTTTGCTTCGTCAAGGGGTTGACGCTGCACACCATGAACGGACAATAATTACGAACCCACCCTCTGGCTTCGTCAAGGGGTTGACGCTGCTCACCATGAACGGACAATAATTACAGAGCCTCAGATATCACGACCATCAACACCGAGTCCGGACGGCGGTCGGCTTCGCTACACCATGAACGGACAATAATTACGAACCCACCCTCTGGCTTCGTCAAGGGGTTGACGCTGCACACCATGAACGGACAATAATTACAAACCCACCCTCTGGCACACCATGAACGGACAATAATTACGAATCCACCCTCTGGCTTCGTCAAGGGGTTGACGCTGCACACCATGAACGGACAATAATTACAGAGCCTCAGATATCACGATCATCAACACCGAGTCTGGACGGCGTCAAGGACAATAATTACGAACCCACCCTCTGGCTTCGTCAAGGGGTTGACGCTGCACACCATGAACAGACAATAATTACGGAGCCTCAGATATCACGACCAACACCGAGTCTGGACGGCGACCGTTGACGCTGCACACCATGAACGGACAATAATTACGAACCCACCATCTGACCTCTGCTCATATAATGGACCATAAGTCCCTCGTCTTGTCCATACGGCCTCAATTAGGGGGGCGAGATTGGGATGATATTAGAGGTCTCCTTAGTCCTGACGTTCTGACTCTCCCTCCAGACCCTCGGGGTAATATCACCGACCCACCCCTCGATAAGTATTTTGGGGTCCACCTTCTGTCGCTACAGGTTGGGCTGCGGTTTCCCCTTCATAGGTTTGTGATAGATTTTATGAACCACTACGAGATAGCCCCCAGCCAGCTTGTTCCCAATGGTCACCAGGTAATTGCTGGCTTTCTTTCTATATGTAAGGACAAAGGGATAGAACCCACGCTAGATCTTTTCCAGGCTCTTTTCATAGTTGGTAGGGCTTCTCAGGAGGGTAAGGGATTTTTCATGATTTCGAGCAGGCCGCATTTCAAACTCTTTGAGGACCGTCCTACTTATAACAAGGATTGGAAACCCAAATATGTCTTTGTCACCCTTGTGGGTCATCCGTCTCCCTTTCGTGTCACGTGGGGATCCCATTTACGTTTCCCTCTTACTCTTGACATGAGTCCTTCCCTCCGCCGAGATGTAGATGATTTACTAGGGGATGGTCTTCTATCTATCGTTGATTATACCACCGAGTGGAAGCTCGCGGGCTTAGGCTTCGTGAGGGCTCATCCGGCTGTTCTTTCACCCACGGGTACT